TAAGAAACATACGCTAGCGCATTCTGCTTCCACCCCGCTGCCCAGCTATGAATGAATCAATGAGCGAACCATTTCCCGAGACGCATTAAATAAACTCACAACGCGAGCCACTGCACCGCAGACCAATCCTTAGGCCGCGACTTGAAAAAGTGGTTCACCTCGTGCACAGAGATGTACCCGCTGCCGTCGTCGTCAATGGCGTCCGAGATGTTCGGGTAGTCTGCACCACATGAGCACATACACCCTTTGGAGTTTGGATAGCGTACATATGACTTGGCTAAGGACGTTGAGCGTCCACTGCTCTGAATGGATTTCCCGTCGGCAATGCTGGTGCTCCCCAAACTTCTGCGCGAAGTGGTTGTGCACGGCTGCCGAGGCAGGAACATATCAGCTCAGCCCGTTATCCAGCCGGGATATTTAAAATATGAGCACCCACCATCAACGAAATGCCGTGCCTTACAGCTTATCCGCCAGTTCTACGTCGCCCGTCAGCACACAAAGTCGCGGCCTCATCCATGTGGCGTACCATGTCTGTAGAATGACATTTAATCAGCGGTTGACGAACATAGAAACTGAGGTACTTACCCTTCCAAACGGCCTTGATGTCCTCGTCGTGGATTAGTTGATATGGGCCAGAGTTCAACTACGATGCACAAATGTTCAGATATTATGGCAAACAGAAAGGAAGACCAGTACCTGCAGCAATATCGCTGCCGTCGAGCGCTCGACCGCCTCGCGCATCTCCTTCTGTGCCGCTTCGATCTTGAGCGTGAACCGCGGCCTGCCCATGCGAGCTGTGTGAGAACATGTATCGCATTCAACCGGAGAGAAACACTCACATATTAGCCACCAGCGCCTCGTCGAGCCCCTCCCGCAGGCTCGCGTGAACTTGCGGCGCCAGCTCCTCCTGCGCCCCAAGCCCGAACTCACTCCTTCCCAGCTCATTCAGGAACTCTGGGTTCTGCAAGGCCTCATCCCCGCCATTCTCCCTTATTCGCTGCGCCACGGAGGCTTCCAGAGGTGTCTGCTGTGCGACGGCCGACACTGCTTTCTGGAGCATGGCGGCGAGCGCGTCTACCTTGGCCGCGACAGTCCCCACGCCCGTGCTCACATCATTTATCTGGACTGCGGCTTCCTCCGTGAGGATGAACTGCAGGTCCGCCTTGTGCTGTACGAACTTCTGCGAGAAGTCTTCGAGCTTCTTGCGGTATTCCGACGAGCGGAGCGTGCGTACTATAATGAGATTTCGAGTTATCAACATAATGGATCTCTGGGACAGTAACAAACCAAAGTGTCCGTGGCGGTAGTAGACTCTACGAGAATTTGAGTCGAATCCGAGCGGAGGAGAAGCGCCCGACTTACTGGCGAAAATTTCCAAAATCCTGCATCGTCTTTCCCACTTCTTCGAAGAACGTCTTCAAACTGCTATCGATGCACTCCGCGGCGCGGAAGATAGTCTGTAGGTCGCACAGCGTGAATAAAAATACCGACTGAACACCATTCGTCCGAGTTAGCGCTCTCCCGAGATCACCAAGGAGCGGAGACGTACCATGGTGTGGTATACAATAACCTGCAGAGCGTCAATAGGTTTACCTTTCAGAAGGGACTGCGACTCACGATGTTCTTGTCGTTTTCATGCCGGTCGAGCTCGTGCTTGACAATCACCTGCCAATTTATGAGCATCTATTACTTCGGAATTAAGAGAAGGCTCACGGCGAGGATGGACTCGGCCACCATGAGCGCGGGGATGTACTTTGTGACAGAGTCGAGGATCTGCACAAGGTCCTTCGCGGGCGCAAGCACCACCGTTACGTTCTCTTTCATGACGCTCCACTCTTCGCCTGTTCCAACTTTTCAATCGAATTATTCTGAAAGCAGTGGAAGCAAGGACGCACTGGCGACGACTTCTTCAAGGACGGTCTGGGCCTTCGTGAGGTTCTGCATGCCCAGTGTGATAAGCGGGCCTGGACGCGCGCGTCAACTTCTTCTCGAACACAAGAGCATTGAAGAGCGCGCACCGACGGTGGCGGCGACCTTCGGCTTGTCCATCTGCACTGGCGCGGTGATGCTCTTCGCCTTGCCCCCTGAATGGTGGGGCCCCATACCGCGATGCGAGTGGGAGCTGATGACGGCGGCCGCGGCGAGCATCGGCGGGGGCTTGGGCACGAGCGAATGCGCGTTCGTCAGGATATCGATCGCCTCTTCCGACGGTGGCGTGTCCCACTGTGGCGCGAACTGCCTCGGGGGCGCCTGCGGTGCCACGACTAAGCCGATGAGCTCGAGACCTAGAACACACGGAGAGGGGTGGCTCACTGGATACAGACGAGTCAGAGCTCGTTGGTGATCGCACCCGGGGATACACCAGCGCGCCGTAGATAAGCTCCGGGCCCGAGGAGCCGCGGTTGTGGTTTGGCAGCAGCGGGACGGGCGGGAGAGGCTTGATCTCGGGGCTGTATAGCGACTCCGCCGACCCGTACCGCCGTATCGCTGGGTCTGCCTTGTGAGCCTTCTTGCCTTGCATCGAGCGCTTACGCAGGCGGAGATACGAAAAGGGCGAGGGGGTACGTTTCTCTTGGATGGGCGGCGGCGCGACGAGGTCAGCGTAGGAATCGTCCGCAGCTGCGGTGTTTTGCCGCCGCCCGCGTTTTGAGAATATGGCGGACATGGTGGTGGTGAGGAGAGCAAGTGGTTGGAAACCGGGTAGCGTCTACGGGAAGTCAGGCAAAAATACTCTCCTGGCGCTAACGGTGTCATGCGTCGAAAATACCCGGGCGCTTCGTCTGGCAAGCGCAATGTCGTGAAGTGCTATTGCCTCGTATCAATTAAGTACTGTGATGAAGGAGATAGCTAGCGCACTTTGGCCCTGAATATGGACGAACTAGGTGTATTGTATCCATTGCGATTAATGCGCGCCCAACTGCGCCCGAGCCCTGGCCCCTGGGTTGCTGGGCGACGTCGGATCACCCGCCATTCTAGCTATTCAATGGATGTATCACCTCCTGCAAGCTCGGGCCCACTCCCCTAGCGGGAAACCACCTCATGGTCGGATCTGTCTGGGCTGTGAGATGATAGATTGAGTGGACGCTCGTCCATGCGGATCTTCCGGGCACCGCAGAGCATTCAACTTGTTGTGGGGACTACGGGACATTAAGACCTCATCCACGGCTACGGCCAGAGCTGCCCCGGGTGCACTAGGAGTTTGAGCTTGATAGCGTTAAGACAGTGGAGGAAAGGGAAGAAAGCAAGAGGAAAGTTGAAAAGGAACACCACGTGGCGCGATGATCGGTTCGGGACAAGCCGCCTGATGGTTAACGGGCGCCTCCAAGATTGTCCGGCTTGCCGGACCGGAGACAGGCTTGCTCCGAACCTAGTTGCCTACTTGGAACCTATTGCCACGGGCCTGGAAATCAGCTAAGTATTTCCGGTCCAGTTAAAAGAGTGTTTTATGACGCACCAAATTAGAGCATTAGGACGATTTTTGAGCACCGTTTCAAATTATTCGTTCTGACCTCTTTGAAGTTCTGACAGAAATAAGCCATAATAATTTCGGGCGCGGGGAGTAAAACCCCGGACTGTGGTTTGCGAATTGGACTGTTCACGTTGCAATGCTAACCGCCACACGCCGTGCACCGCGGTCGATTATTACCTTAGGCTTTCAACACAACTCCGTGACGGGAGGTTCGAAAATTTCGTGAATACCAGGAGAGTTGCTAGTCATTTGGCACTGTTCTTTAAGGTGAAGCAGGATAAGATCTGTGATAAAATGGAACAAGAGCAACACCGGATGTTCACACTAATCAGGTCGGGCGCTGGGAGTCGAACCCCGCGGCGTGTGGCTTATAAAAATTCGTTCACCTACCGGTAGCCACCGTACCGTATCGTCGGGTATTTACCTTTCACCAAAACCCCCGTGAAGCGGGTTTGCTCAAATACGAATTTCTACTGAAAACATAGGCTCCCACAGAATCTCGCGCTTACGAATAACAGGAGAATTGCTAGTTGGGACACGGGATAAGATTTAAAAATGTAACAAAGAGACGGCGAGGTCAAGCGCGGGGAGTTGAACCCTGGCTTGTATTATCAGGGCGCGCAGGTATGTAAACCAGAAGTGGAACAAAAAAACGACGAGGACAAGGTCGGGCGCGGGGAGTCGAACCCCGAGCTGCGGGTTGTACTGCGAAAACGCCTGATAATGGAGACCATCATGCACCGTGCACCACGCCCGATGGAACGGGACTCGGTAATCTAGGTTCAATCTGATCTTTCACCCTCAGAACTTTGTGATTTTGGATCATCCTTGCTTCAGCTACAAAAAGAGACGGGATGATAATTATGAGAATGCATCGGCGGGGCTCCATTGAATAATTGCCTGCGGCCGGACAAAAAGCATAGCAGAAAGTGTCAATTCGGGCGCGGGGGGGTCGAACCCCGGTCTGCAGCTTACATCAGACTGGACAACCTCAGAATTAATATTAGCCGCCGTGCGCCGTGCACCACACCCGATTATCAGCATAACATTTCATTCCAATAAGACGCGCATTTCCTCCGAACAAGGGAAATATTTGGAGGACCTGTGGAAATTTTGAACTGTGCTGCTTGAGTTAAATCATTGAAACTAGATGCTGGATGGCCAGGTCGCGGACGACTCGGAGTGAGGTGAAGGAGCAAAAAATCAACTGGTTATGGCCCGAGCCTAGGTCGGGCGCGGGGAGTCGAACCCCGGTCTGCGGCTGCAAGATTCTGTGACAGAGACCGGGATGGTAACCGCCGCGCATCATGCACCACACCCGATAATTTCCTCTGAACGCGCGTCGGTAGATTATAAGAGTCCATTCGACGCGTTCGCGAGGCCGTTTCAAAGGCTCTCCGGCCTCACAAAAAAATCAACCACACCAATACATGTACAATGTCAGAATTTCTGGTTGTTGAGACTCGGACTAGTATGAAGCTGCCTCGATCTTAAATTTTAAGAACAAAAAGAAGACTAGATATGCACCCAGCTCGGGCGCGGGGAGCCGAACCCCGGTCTGCAGCTTGCAACATTCCCGCACTTGAAATTCTATTAATGGTAGCCGCCGTGCACCGTGCACCACACCCGAGTATCAGCATAATCTGTGATTCCATGAAGCCGGGAATTTCCTCGAAAGAAGTCTATCGATTCTGAAGAGAAGTGTTTGGGATTTTCTGGACTGTGCTGCTTGGATTGCAACTCGATATAGGCTCTTAAAAACAGACGCTAAAACGTGGTGAAGCTCGTACCTCATGTTGTGTACTGGACGGACCACTTCTCGGACGAGTCGGAGTGAGGTAACGGAGAGAGAAATTCAACAGGTTACTATCAACAACCGGGTAACCGGCCACTTAAGCATTAGTCGTTAGTTTCGAGAGCCATACTGTCCCTATGCAATCAACCGTATGTTTAAATGATGGCAGGTATCCTGTGAATAGTTCAAGACCATGTCCTCGAATTTACATGAAGTGTTGGCGGACCGGGGAATTTCTTTTCGCCGGCATCCGCAACACGGGCAAATACCAGGTAACCGGCCACCTCAAGTTCCGCGGGCGTAAACTTGCGGCCTCTTCATTCAGGAATGATACATAGGGGACTAGGAACTATTCTGTATAATTGGGGTGTACATACATGCAATGGGACGGGGAAAAATAAATGCGTGTGATAGCAGCAGAATCTGCGGAATCACAGATCCTCGACTACCAAGGCACCTCGTCGGGACGAGCCACTGTGGCAGCCCAAAACAGAGTGTACATCATTTCATACGAAGTATGTAGACGTACCAGGATGCCCACCCTCATGTCGAGAACTCACTAGCTCCCAAAAAAAATCCAAAGATCTCGGGCACCAGATTCCAGTGGTTTGAGGTAAAGGAAAGCGGTGAGAAGGGAATTGAAGGAAGGAAGAGTTTGAGGACACACCAAGCTGGAGTATTCCCGATCTCAAAAATCTTGGCCAAATTCCAGACCCATAGCGTGCACAGGTTGCACGATGTGAACATGGCCGGCGTGAGCCACTCAAGATCGAAGTCACGGTGTATCCGTGCCATAGCAAGAGTGTGTGAAGAGAATGCATGTCGTATGCTATCAGGGATTGAAGCCCTACATCGTGGGAGCAGAACGAGCCCAGGAAGTCGTTGAACGACGGAGGAGTGGCAGAGAAAGAGCGAAAGCAGTCGTGCGGAATAGGGTTGCGGAAGAAACTCCGGGAGGTACCACAAACTAGGTAATTTACCACCCAACATTTCCGGGGCCTGCAAAAAATGTAATTTACCTGGTAAGTCACCTTTTCGGAAGTATCACGTGATCCAATCACGGGCTAAAATTCACCCCAAAATCTCCAGCGTGTTTGCGGCGCCAGACTGCGGGAAACTCCGGAATAAAATCTAACAGAGTCAAAAAGGTGCCAAATTGAATATTGCAAGTGGTATATTATTATTTCTGTGTTTCGCTGGTTTGCTTTTAGCAGTTACATCAACTGAAGCCAGCAAGAGTCCAGGACTCTTCTTCGTACTATGTATTCGGGATGGTGTACGAGATGCGGAGGAAGTGCTTAGTGATGTTCAGGGCCCGGCCCGGCCTGAAAGCCTGGGCTTGGGCCCGGCTTGAGGCGGCCTGGGCTTGAGATATCCCAGGCCCGAGCCCGAGCCCTCAGGTTGGGCCTCAAGCCCGGGCTTCAACAGTCGGCTGACTCACCCGAAGTGTTGATTGTTTTGGGGTGAGGGGGGCTTCTGGGAAGGTGTGTGACTCTCATCCTGAATTAAAATGATAGTCTCCAACTTCATGTCACATTTTTGAACCATCTGCACAGAAAAAATGTCAGAAAAAATGTCCATATTCGAACTACAGAGTTGAAATTTCGCCCTTTGTGAGCTGTCACTAATTTTTGTGAGCTGACCGCCAAAAGTGTAGAGATTCTGGACCTGAAGGAAGCTGGATGTTCCGACTGTAACTGATACTCAAGCCCGGGCCTGAGGCCTGAAGCCCAGGCTTGGGCTTGAAAATTTTGAAGCCCGAGCCCTGGGCCCGCTCAAGCCCTGTGTCGGGCCCGGCCCGGCCTGGTAAGCCCAGGGCTCGACCTGGCGGGCTCAGGCCTCAGGGCTTGAAGCCGGGCCCTAAACATCACTAGAAGTGCTGCAGTGAGGGATAAACCAAGTATTGACTGCTATCCCAGAGTTTAGAAAGCTTGAGACAGTTGCAACGAAGCCTAGATATTTTTACATACTTACCGGAATTGTTGTCTTCGAGCTTCTCCGAGGCTTGGTTTTGGTCGATAGCCTTGCAGCGAGTTGGCCCATGATGAGTGTGAATTTGGAGATGATCTGACATAGACAAATGTAGGCATGATCCGCTGAAACTGGCTAGTTCGATGTTGATCTCATGACGCGATTTGGACCTCAGACGCACATTGAATTGAATCTCCTCTGCAAATTGTCTCTCTACTAAAATGTCTTCCAAACCTCTCCCATTGGCAGGCCTTCCACAGTGTCGGATACAGAAAAAAAACTGGATTCTAGCACGTGGCAGAGGTAATTTACCAGGCACTTTTAGCCGCCCTACCACAGCCTACCACAAATAGGTAACTTACCTTGCACGTAATCGCGGTAACTTACATATTAATTTACAACCCGATTTCTTCCGCAACCCTAAGGATTCATGGTGGTGGGCAATCCCGAATGATCCGCCGTGACGATCACGTGCGACTTCACTCGAGACGCGATCAAACAAAACTGACCCACACTTGTTCAAGCTGCCCTGGCTTCAATTCTGCACCTTTGCTCACGCAAAAATACTCAAAATGCGTCATGTTTCCGCACTAGAGGCTATCTACTTTCGCGAATATTTTTCTTCTGAATTGAGACCGCCAGAGCAGGCCGAACACACGACTCGTGCATGCCAAGCCATCTTCCGGATATCTGGTTGGGGCCAAAATCAGGAAGGAAACTCCCAGAATATTTCCTGGGTATCTTGAGCATTACCATATCATATTTGACAGATTTTCGGCCGTCCAGGAGTCTCTTGAGAGGTACACTGGACGGATACCCGTTAGATCAGTTCAGCTCAAACATGGGCAAATGTAGGCACGTTGCCCCTGCGCGCACATTTTCCGGCTTTCACAGGCATCTTTTGTCACAACTCAATTGACAAAAAATGTTTTCACGATGCAGATCTGTGTTTTGTTCAGAGAAAAATCGTCAGATACGGACATTAGCCCTGGAAACACACGATTCTTCTGATGATTTCTTGATTTTACAAGATAGTTCCTCAAATTTGCAAATTTGGTCTGAACAAAACACAGGTGTGGTTATTATTAAAATTTTCGTGTTTGAATCCACTGTGTACCACATCAGGGGCAGCCAATAAATGTGCCCCGGGATTTGGGTCAGTTGAAATGGCGGAGATCACTGCACGTGATGCATGGGAACAAAATGATGGCCCAATGCATTGCGCACCACCACAAGTTTATTAAAGGAAGGAAACGGTCACGTTCGGAGCCCGTCGGCCGACACTGCACGTGTCATAAATCTTGATCGGAACCTCACTTCCGGTTGAGAGATGATATGGAGTACTTAACGTTAGAGGTCCCATTCTCTCCCTCAATCTCAAACTCAGACATTTCAGGAGGTCCTGCCTCAACAGAGGCCAAGTGGCTGGTTTCCTAGTTTGGCCGGTTTCCCAGTCGGCGATAGTATGGGCCAGGTCGGGCGCGGGGAGTCGAACCCCGGTCTGCGGCACTCGACGTCGGGTCATGTATTCGTGATGTCGGGTGCACCCGTGTCGTGGGCGTCGAAAAGTCAAGCCGCTGTCGCGCTGTCTATGGCCGAAGCGGAGTATATCTCGCTGATACGCGCTGCCCAGCAACTGAAGTGGATACATTCCTGCGTGAACGAGGTCGGATTGGAACAGCCACTTCCCGGGATTCTTTATTGCGACAACCGTGGCGCCGTCGACTTGACCAAGACCACGAAATCCCACAGTAAGGTCAAGCACTTCGATGTTCGTCACCACTATATTCCAGAACTCGTACACGCGGGGGAGATGATAACGGTAGAATTCATCCGCGGGCCGCGGCAACGAGAACCCTGCCGACCTGTTCACCAAACCCCTTCCCCGTCTGACCCACGAATCCTACCTCACCAAGCTCAACATTCCCCGTGATGCAGTTTGAATCGACGTGCCCACCGGGTCTGGGGGAGTGTTGTAGGAGACCCGGCGGCCCGTATACCCGGCCCTTCCCACTCCGGTTACCGTACCTTATCATTTATTTCATATTCTCTGATCCCTACTTATACCGTTGCTGCGCATCACCACCTCAGCCATTTCCACCTTTGCGTGTCCGACTGAGGTGAGTTTACCTACTCTCCACATGACGCTGATAGCTAGCTATTTAGTGCTTACAATATTGTTCTTACTTTAATTCCCGACCCGCATCTTCTCTCCGCATCTGCTTCCAAGCCGCTGATACGGTTCTGGGCGTGGGCGTGGGCGTCGAGGCTGTGGTGTCTCAATTAAGTTGAAATGAGACGGCCATCGCAATTTCTGGTTTCAAACTCATGACCCATCACTTCTGTCGCATACATCAGTTGCACCAAGTTCTGTGGCGCATGCATAATTCCCGCCAGAACACCCCATACAATTACTCTAAACATAATAAGGTCAGTATGAACACCTGGGGAGCATTTCCTGCCCTGAAATTGCTTACCTAGACGTGGTTGAAAAGTTTCAGTCCGAACGCGTTCGAACGCCGAACCGAACCTGAACGCGGGTTGAGGTTCAAGGTTCAAGGTTGCCCGAACCGAACGCCGGGTCCAGGTTCGGCGTTCAGAGCGAAAAGCCCTGAACCTGAACCGAACCGAATTTTGCCAGCACTAGGTACGTCGCAACCAGCATCCCAGGATCTACATTAGCGGCTCGAGTGTCGCAGCGGTGCGCGCAGAGATGAGCAGGAAATGGGAGTCGAGTCTAAAGATTGTGCCAATCGCGCATGGACAGACCGATAAAACGTCCACACCTCACTTATCATCTTGGTGCTTCCTCTCTCCAGCGACACTTCCTCCTGTCGCTTCCATGCCAACGGGAGGATGTGGGG